TGCCATACATTGACATGAATCAGCCATGGATTTACATGTGTTCCCCATCCTGAACCCCTCTCCCACCTCCCTCCCCATCCCATCCCTCTGGGTCTTCCCAGTGCACCAGCCCCGAGCACTTGTCTCATGTATCCAACCTGGACTGGCGATCTGTTTCACACTTGATAGTATACATGTTTTGATGCTGTCCTCTCAGATCATCCCACCCTCGTCTTCTCCCATAGAGTACAAATGTCTGTTCTATACATCTGTGTCTCTTTTTCTGTCTTGCATATAGGGTTATCGTTACCATCTTTCTAAATTCCATATACATGCATTAGTATACTGTATTGGTGTTTATCTTTCTGGCTTACTTCACTCTGTATAATGGGCTTCAGTTTTATCCATCTCATTAGAACTGATTCAAATGTATTCTTTTTAATGGCTGAGTAATATTCCATTATGTGTATGTACCACAGCTTTCTTATCCATTCATCTGCTGATGGGCATCTAGGTTACTTCCATGTCCTGGCTATTATAAACAGATGTGGACCATTTTTAAAGTCTTTATTGAATTTGTTGCAATATTGCTTCTGATTAGTCTGGATAAATGTTTACCAATTTTATTTTCAAAAAACCCACTTTGGGGTTCACTGATCTTCTCTAATATTTTCTCTTTTCTATTTCATTGATGTCTGCTCAACTCATTGTTTCCTTCCTTCTTCTTACTTTGGGTTTAATATGCTGTTTTTCTAAATTTTAAGGTAGAATCTTTCATAATAAATTTGGTACCTTTCTCCTTTCCTAATATAGATGTTTTTATAAACACTCTAAGTTCTACTTTAGCATCATCTGCCAATTTTCATATGTTGTGTTCACACACATTAAATTTAAAATACTTTCTGATGTTCTTTTTGGTTTCTTCTCTGAACCACAGGTTATTTACCATTTGTTAATTTGTTTCCAAACACTGGATATATTCCCAGGTATCTATGTTATTTACTTCAAGTTTAATTTTGTAAAGATGGAACATCATGTATTTATTACTCAGTTTTTAAAAATTTTAATAGGACTTTTTATGCCCAAGAATATATTCTACTTTAAATACATCTCTAGTCTTTCCCATTCTATTGTTTTCCTCTTATTTCTTTGCATTGATCACTGAAGAAGGTTTTCTTATCTCTCCTTGCTATTCTTTGGATCTCTGCATTCAGATGGGTATATCTTTCTTTTTCTCCTTTGCCTTTCACTTACTTTCTCAGCTATTTGTAAAGCCTCCTCAGACAACTATTTTGCTTTTTGCATTTCTTTTTCTTGGGAATGGTCTTGATCACTGCCTCCTGTACAATTTCACGAACCTCCATCCATAATTCTTCAGGCACTCTATCAGATCTAGTCCCTTGAATTTATTTGTCACTTCCACTGTATAATCATAAGGGATTTGATTTAGGTCATACCTGAACAGTCTGGTGGTTTTCCCTACTTTCTTCAACTTAAGTCTGAATTTAGCAATAAGGAGTTCATGATCTGAGCCACAGACAGCTCCTGGTCTTGCTTTTGCTGACTGTATACAGCTTCTCCATCTTTGGCTGCAAAGAATATAATCAACCCAATTTCGGTGTTGGCCATCTGGTGATGTCCATGTGTAGAGTCTTCTCTTGTGTTGTTGGAAGAGGGTGTTTTCTGTGACCAGTGCATTCTCTTGGCAAAACTGTTAGCCTTTGCCCTGCTTCATTATGTACTCCAAGGCCAAACTCGCCTGTTACTCCAGGTATTTCTTGACTTCCTACTTTTGCATTCCAGTCCCCTATAATGAAAAGGACATCTTTTGGGGGTGTTAGTTCTAGAAGATCTTGAAGGTCTTCATAGAACCATTCAACTTCAGCTTCTTCAGCATTGTTGGTTGGGGCATAGACTTGGATTACTGCGATATTGAATGCTTTGACTTGGAAACGTATAGAGATCATTCTGTCATTTTTGAGATTGCACCCAACTACTGCATTTCAGACTCTTGTTTACTATGAGGGTTACTCCATTTCTTCTAAGGGATTCTTGCCCACGGTAGACATAATGGTCATCTGAATTAAATTCACCCATTCCAGTTCATTTAGTTTGTTGATTTCTAAAATGTCGATGTTCACTCTTGCCATCTCCTGTTTGACCACTTCCAATTTGCCTAGATTCATGGACCTAACATTCCAGGTTCCTATGCAATATTGCTCTTTACAGCATCAGATTTTACTTACATCACCAGTCACATCCACAACTGGGTATTGTTTTCACTTTGACTCTGTCTCTTCATTCTGATAGCTTATGGTGAATGGCGTCAGATTCATGATCTTCGAAGAAGATTTAGCTTCAGGGCCAGGGACCAGGGGCCAGGCTTGATCACTCAGGATCTTTTGTGTAGCAGAGTTTTATTACACTATGAAAGTGACAGAGAAAGCTTCTGACACAGACATCAGAAGGGGGATGGAGAGTGCCCCCCTCGCTAGTCCTAGAAAGGGAGTTATATACTTTTTCAACTGGTTGCTACAATAAATCAAAAGTCTCAAGGTTGTAAAAATTTTACCATACCCACTCCCACAACTTCTTCACCTCAAGACTGCTTTTTGGGCTTCCCTTGTGGCTCAACTGGTAAAGAATCCACCTGCAATGCAGGAGACCTGGGTTCGACCCCTGGGTGGGGAAGATCCCCTGGAGCAGGGAAAGGCTACTCTCTCTAGTTTCTAGCCTAGAGAATTCCATGGACTACAGTCCATGGGGTCACAAAGAGTGGGACATGACTGAGTGACTTTCACTTCACTTCATATCACCCCCTCAATTTACATTTCAAGGCAATAGGATTAGAATTTAACAATAGAAAGATCTTACCAGACCACTCCCATAATATACATTCTAAAAATACCAGGATTAGTCAGGGGTTTTCAGGAAGGAGAAACTGTCCTCAAAGAGGATACATTTTTGTGATATAATCCCTAGTACGGAGTTTAAACTGAGTTGTTTGTTGTGTAATCATCAGTCCCAGGCTTAAAGGAAAAGACATTTTATGTGACTAAGACTAAGGAATGTAGAGAGAAAAAAAAAAAAGATGTTTGTCCTTTCCTCCTCCTTGAGAACTCCAGACCCCTAGCTCCTCTTTGAGATCCTCAGACCCGCCTCTCCTCCTTGGGGACCCTCAGCTTCCTATCAATCTGCCTAGGAATTGACTCTCTCTTTCTGGAGTTATTTCTCCATTGGTCTTCAGTAGCATATTGGGCACCTACCAATCTGGAGAGTTCATCTTTCAGTGTCATATCTTTTTGCCTTTTCATACTGTTCATGGGGTTCTGAAGATAAGAA